CACGTGTCAATTTTCATGTTTATATGTAGGCTATAAGTGCGCATTGCAATGATAATTTTATGTATCTAATGTATAATTTTATTATATAATAGTATTTCAAATTAGTTTGATTTGCATTAACACCATTTTCATGTTTATATGTAGGCTATAAGTGCGCATTGCAATGATAATTTTATGTATCTAATGTATAATTTTATTATATAATAGTATTTCAAATTAGTTTGATTTGCATTAACACTTTATTAGATATCAAATCAGTTTTTCCAATCATAAAATTTATACATTTTATTTAGGGTAAATTTCACAAATGCCTCATGATAAAGCCCTCGAATTTTTAAAATGCCACAAACTCTATAAGTTTTAAGGTTCTCAGAAAACTACATTCAAACCCTAAAAGCGTGAAACACAATTTCCATTGGCAAAAGTATCAACCTGCATAATTTTACTCATATGTGAAAAAGTACGAAGTAAGGATTATTGCCATTAAGAAGGATTTTTTGAAAATTGTTGAAAGTTTAAGGGGATTGAAATCGCCAAAGATTTTGTTTTTCTTTTTTCTTTTTTCTTTTTCTTTTTTTTTTTTTTGGGGGGGGGGGGGTTATGACATTTTGCAAGTTAATGATTTTAAGGGGTTTTCTAAAAGGCTAAAAAAACACTTAAATACCTTATATTTTCATCTTCCTTAATCTTATACACCCCAAATTGTAAAAGTTTGTACTTACATACCCAGCTTGTTTAAACATGCAAATTAGTATATTATGTTACTTGAATGTCTGAGTATTCGTATGTTTTACTCACATGTCAATTATGGCTTTGTTTTACCCTAATTGATTTTTTTATTTACATTTTTACCTACCTTTTTACAATACGAGGAGGCTAATTTCAGCCAAGGGTAGTTTAGTATTAACCCTAAAAAATTAACTCAATTTAGAAATTTTAATGGAAAAAATTGGTATCCTTAATATATATATTTCTCCTTCATTACCTTATTCTTGATCTAAATTGAAGTTGAGCTATGATTTAATTGTTTGCAAGAAACAACATTAGTAAAAAAGAAACTTATAACATGGGTTAAGAAATCTTAGTTAGCTAATAATTTGTTTTGATAAATCCAAAGAGATGTATGGCCTAATTCTTCGCCTCTCATGGTCATGCCATTCATTAGCCTTTTAAGATGATCCTTTAAGGTTTCAAATTTTATTATTAATTCATTATTCGCATAATTTTACTAAACTAACAACCAATTTAGTAATCAAAGTATTCTTGATTTGCTATTGTGCCCAAAAACTTATGATATAAGTAGATATATGTGAAAAAATAGTCTTATATCTCTCCTTTCATTACCTAGTTATTGATCTACATCGACATTCGTAATAGTTTAATGGATTGCAGTAAACAACATTGACATAGAAGAGAATTTTTTTTATAATAAACCTAATAACAATAGTTTAATGGATTGCAGTAAACAACATTGACATAGAAGAGAATTTTTTTTATAATAAACCTAATAACTCAAGTTCAAAAATTTCTTACTTAGCAAATAACTTATTCTAATTTGTTTTTGAAATGCTAGTTTATTGACTCAAGATTTATAATTAATTAGTTTTTAGCATAATTTCACCGAACCAATAGCTACTTTTAGGTTCATAAATTTCAATAAAAATGTTATGATATAAGAACTAAGAAGATAAAATAGATCGCCAATGCAAGAGATCAAATCATTCTTCGTCAATGAAATCAACATTCAGTTTTAAAGATTAAACAACAAATCAAATTCTTCTAATCAATATTAAAAAAAAGATAAAAAAGATAAAAAAGATGAATAGATTTGCGGCCTTGTAAAATTGTCAATATACTCTTTATTTTTTATTTTCCTTTTCATCATTCAAATTTATTCCACCAACTTTTTCAGTGAATCTGATATGAATATGCCGTTATAATATATTAAATTAACTTTGTTATTACTTAAATAATTAAATTAATTATAATTAATTTACTAATATAGAATAATTTTAGCCTCAAACTGTTAAGCTACATAATTAAGATAGGTGTTTCCTTTTGCTCCTTTAATTCAATGCACATAATCATGTAAAGAATCACTAAAAACCTCATAGTTAACAAAATGCCCCATGATTATGGTTTGAGAACAAAATAGAATGTGAAAATGTATAGAAACTTTAATTATTATTTATTAAATGAATCATTATGGTTTGAGAACAAAATAGAATGTGAAAATGTATAGAAACTTTAATTATTATTTATTAAATGAATCACTTATTTTTACATCATCTCCAAAAAAAAAACTTTAATTATTATTTATTAAATGAATCACTTATTTTTACATCATCTCCAAAAAAAAGGGCAAAAAAATAATTGAACACCTTAGATCTTAGTCTGTAGCAATGTTGAGATCTTAGTCTGTAGCAATGTTGATCAAGAAAAAAACATGAAAATTATAAAGATCGTAAAGAAAGTGAGCTCGAAAATGCCAAAGTCGCAAGCAGCAAAGAAAGCTAGATTTGGCTCTTTTCTTCTCAATCTAAATTGTAATTGCGAATTGGAATGTTGATTGGAGAAAATTGATAAAACTTTCTTGTTATTTATAGTGATTTGGTAGGAGAGGAATAGTTGTAATGTTTTTTATCATTAGTGCACATAAAGTTATGTCAGTGTATCATGAGTTAGTGGAGGATTGTTATGAGTGGGTGATTAATTAAAAAATTGATAGCAACCAATTGGGAGATTATGAAAAATTGAGCATGTATGTATGAATGGGTGTACTGGAGGCATTTTGGGTAGAAATATTTTAACATGACAATCAACTTTTATAATAGTATTATATATATATATATATGAGAAAAATAGGTATGTTTGGTACTAAGCACAAATTTTAGGCTTGGTAGTGAGGTGTCATATTCTCATCCACTCATTTTAATTCTCAACCACTCCCCAACCCATGTAAATATGAGTTCCGATTTTAATGAGTGGAGGGAAATATGTCACCTCATTACCAAGCACAAAAACTTGTGCTTGGTACCAAGCATACCCATATATATATAGGTATGCTTGATACCAAGCACAAATTAGGTGTTTGATAATGAGGTGTCTCATTCCTATCCATTCGTTATTATTCCTAACCACTCGCCAACTCATGTGAGTGTGAGGCCCGATTTCAATGAGTGGAGGGGAATGTGACACCTCACTACTAAGAACCACTTTTTTTGCTTGGTACCAAGCATACCCATTTTTCTCAAAAATATATTATATATATATATATATATTATATAATTATATATATATATATATATATATAATATATATATATACTATATATGGGAAAAGTGAATCTAGGTGACAATCCTGCTCCCACACTAAGGACGGCCTAGAACAACATGATTTCCTAAATTTTTTTTGCGATCCGCATATCGTTTGAACGTTGATCTACACGTATCTTAACCAAACACACCAATTTTGGGGTGAATCCGGTTGTGTTTTGACCAATCGTGTGACCCATGCAAAAAAGTTCTATTCATTCGAAACCGTTAACATTGCAGTGACTAGGATAAAATGGTCAAAACACAACGCCGGCTTCACATCCAAATTGGATGTGTTTGGGTTTAAGAACCGTGTAGTCAAGTTCAACGGAGTCGGATCGCAAAAAACATAGGAATAATGATGTGATTCTAAGCGCATCTTAGGTGAGAGCCTAGGGTGTCATTCTTAGATTCACTTTTCGGCATATATATATACTATATATATGTATATATATTTATATATATATTATATATATATATATATATATAATATATATAATATATATATAATTGTACTACAACAATGCAAACTTGTGTGTGCCTGTATGTGTGTGTGTGCGCGCAGTGTATTACCACTATGCAAACGTGTATGTTTTGTTGGCACACATGCACACATCATACACAACACACACATGCACGTAGGCATTGTGCAATATGCCCATTCACATGCATCCGCGTACGCACATGCACACACACACACACACACACATACATACATACATACATACATACATAGTTAATATTTATCATAGATCACATTCTGGTATATCAGTATTACACAAAACATTAAAATAAAGCACATATATCGAGAAGTGTATTATTTGATCATAGCATTCTCTTGCTACGTTGCAAAATTATCACTTCAAGATTTCCAATTTTTAGTTTCTACTAACGATGTGTTACATGCAAATATAAGTTCAAATACTTGCTTTTAGGTTTGTAGGCGATCCAAGCTATGTACATAAATTCTAATGTAGTGGATATAAAAAGGGATTTCCTAGCATCAAATTCTAGTGAGAAGAATTGGCTCCCATCCTCTGCGTGCGTGTGTGAGTGATATACAGTATACACACCAAGAACAATATAGGATCCTTCTACCAGCTTTGACAAAATAGGATAATTAACTTTCAAAATTCAACCTAGAAAAAAGGTAAAGATCAGATAGATTTACATATACAATTTACTTAACCAACCATACCCACCTGACCACCCACCTATAGTTGAAAGCGAGGCAGGATGAGAATGAGAAAGAAGCATATTTACTGTCCAATATAGTAACGATTGTCTGGCTAGCCCTCTAACGATAGGACAATGATGTCATAATGAAACTGCCTATGGTCGTTAACTCGTCCATTATCCATTAGGACCATTACCATTTCATGTCGCTCATTATGCATTTACTTATGATGCATCGAGCTTTAGTGTCTTAATTTGCAAATAAACTTAGTCCATTAGACGATCTAAAAACAGAACCTTGTTGTTGATTCCTCAACCACAAATTTTAGAGATGAATTTACGTACCGTGGGGCGCTTTGTCCTTGAATAAATTCTTTCAAGAGTCTCAACATGCACTTTTTTCAATCTCTTTTGCATGGACCATCTTGTTTGTTTGATATGCACAGGTTCCTTAACATCAGGCTCATGTTCGTGAACTATCTCGGTCGGTTCAGGAGTAGATTCTACCAGTTTAGTTTCTGGTTCCGGAATTATTTGAGGTATTTTATCCGGCAAAGAAGCAGACATTAGCAAAAGTTGCGGAGGGGGATCACGAAGCAGTTCAAGGACATAAGTCCTATCTAGGCATAACTCTGCTGCAAGACTTTTTATACTAGTTTTACGCCGACCAATTTTTAAAGCGTAAGCAAGTCTTTTCAGTTGCCAATTTTTCAGCTTTGGCCGTATTTCTTCTTCATCAGTGTCTTCATTGTCACCAGTGCTCAATTTTTCAGCTTTGGCCGTATTTCTTCTTCATCAGTGTCTTCATTGTCACCAGTGCTACCAGAATTCAAAGATAAACCTTCTTGAAGCTCATCAAAGTTCATCAGTGTCTTCATTGTCACCAGTGCTACCAGAATTCAAAGATAAACCTTCTTGAAGCTCATCAAAATCAACATCACCAAGTGCTTCTTCCAACTCCTTTTCAAGCTTAGCCAAATCTTCTTCAGTTACTTCATCGTCACCATCAACATCAGACAAGTCATTCTTTAGATCTTCTTCAAGCAGATTAAAAAGTGCCTCAAAAGCATCTTCATCTATATCAGCTTCCTCTTCATCATCATCTGGCTGTGTTTTCTGCAAAAAGAAAATATACAAAAGAACTAAGCTACATTTACCATTCTTTAACCGTCAAGTTATCAGACAATAATCAAAATAAAGGAGAACAAAAGGAACAAGGAGTAAACGTATAAACATGACATAAAAGAAAACTTTGAGCAAAATTTTGCATTGATAAAGATCCCTCTCATTACGCCAATGTATTTTGCCTAAATAAGTTTAGGAAAAAGAAGAAGAAAGATGGAAAGTAACAATTAAATTTCTCTCATCTAAAAGTATTTACTCCCAAATTAATGAATTATACAAGTTGATTCACCCATCATTTTTACTAAGTCTCTTTTACAGTTACTTGACTGAAGGATATAGTTTACTAAATTTATCCTAAAAACAACAGAATTGAACAAGAATAGTTTGGGCAATTCCGCAATATGAAACTAATTTAACTCGTCTGAAGTGGATAGAACCGTGTGGATTGCTATTCCTCAGAAGCAAGTGAACTGAAGGCATTTTATCTGTGCATATGCGGAGACATACGAGGGATGAAACTCTCCAACAATCTCGCCAAAGCATCCCAATTAAGTGTTCTTTCCATAGCTAATTCCATCAAAAACTTTGAAGAAAAGGTGTGCCTAACAAAAACCAATCAGTAAAAGTTGTGAAATATTCACTTCAATGCCATAGCTGAGGTACTATAAAATAATTCTTGTATAGGTCAAAGAAAATTATAGTCACAATTACATAATCTCCAGTTGTTTACTGGAGATTATGTAATGTGCAGTGTGTGATTCTTATGTCTAAGCTAAGTTTAGGCGGAAAGAATAACTGACCAATTCAACTTCAATCAAGCTGAAGAAGAACAAAAATCATGAAATAATGACTGCCAAACTAGTTCTTAAATTTTTATAAAACATTAAGAAATGTAGTGCTAAAACAGCAGAATCTGCAATTCAAAATATAAGAAAGCAAACATAATAGAATTTAATCCTCAGCTAAAAAGCCAATCTATTAAGCTAGCATACTCCAAAATTCTCAAACTTTTTTACAACTCAGTTGCAAACAGAAAGATTGCAAATTTATATGGGGTAAATCATTCCCACATGAATTTGAACAAACCCATTTTGATTAAACAAAAAATTAATAAGATTTAATTGTTAGCCACCTTAATTTTCGGAGATTTTTTCGCTTTACTGAAAGTTAAAGAGCTGCTCTTCTTATTCCGGCGAGCGAAAGCCACGGCGAGCGGCGGAGTGCGCGTCGAAAGAAGAGCTGGCTTCGAGGGACCCACGGGCAGCTGCGACCTGAAACTGAGATTCCCGCCATTAGGGCTTGAAAGTGGGGAGAAAACCCTAGAAATCAAAGAGGACGAGGACGAAGCAGAAGCTGCCATCAGCGAAAGAGTGAAGGGAAAAATATCTGCCTGGGGTTTTACGGAGATTTAGCAGGATAAATAAGCACGTGAGATGCACGCAGCTTTTCTTCCGCAGTTAGCTGCCTTTCTTTCTTAGTATTTACGAATGTACTCCTAGAAAGTGGCTAATTGATTTTTTTTTGTTTCCCCATGTTGGGCAAAGGTTTTGCAAATTCTCTCATCGAAATTTAAACTGTTGTGTTTTACTTTTGGGAAAAATGTTTCTGGGCCCCAAAAAAATAAAAGAGATGTGTCCCAGCCCCCTCCTGTTTTTCCCTTGTGTTTCAGCCCTTTCACACTCTCCTAGAAAAATTTTTCCCGAAATTACCATTCCCCTCTTCTTCTTCTTCTTCTTCTTCTTCTCCTCTGCCTCCTCTCCCCTCTCTTCTTCTTCTTCTTATCCTCCTCTTCTTCTTCTCCAGACCCTTGCCCCCCCCCCCCCCCCGTCCTCCCCCCCCCCCTCCCCGGGCCCCGGCCCCGACCTCCTCCGTCTCCTCCGTCAATATCCATCTGCTTAATCGATTTGGGAAGACCTTCGATTGGTCTTTGAAGCCCAACTTGATGGGGATTGCTTGCACACAATGTACAATCTTTATTAATTGAGCTTGAGTTGGAGTTTTTGAATTTGATTGAGTTTTTAAGTTCATTGTATTGGATTTTGGGCTTCCATGTTCAATTTGTGATTAAATTGAGTGTTTTGATGTTGAATTATGTCAATGTATTGGATTTTGGGCTTCCATGTTCAATTTGTGATTAAATTGAGTGTTTTGATGTTGAATTATGTCAATGTATTGAGGATTTGATGTGGATCTATTCTTTGTCTTGATTTCTTTGCAAACAGATGTCTGGTGAGATTTCTTGCACACAATGTGTTTGATATAATGCATTGGTGAGAAGAAATGATTTTATTGGAGAGAATGGCTCAATCTCAGGCGTGTGTTATAATTTGATGGAATTAAACAAGATTTGAGACTGATGAAAATAATCTATGCAGATGAAAACCCAAAGATGATTAGTTGTTCAGAATAATAGTTTTGATTTGTCTTAGTGAGTGCATTCTGTGGTGAGAGAGGAATGAACAATTGAAGTTTTTGATAAGGGAATGCTCTATGAAGGAGTGCCTGAAGATAGAATGGTGAAGCTTCTTCAGATTGCATTGAAGTGCATATACAAATCTGCCGATGCTCGACCAACTATGAGCCAAGTTGCCGAGATGATACATTCATTGAAGGAAGAAGAGGATAGGTCTGTTGTGTCTGAAATTGATTCAAGAGATGCTTAAAATTGGGGAGTCTGTTTTTATAATGTCCTGAAATTTATGTATATGTTCCGTTTGACTATTATTATTTGCTAGTGTATATGTGTTGGTCACATATGAGGAGGTGGAAAACATTGTTTATTTGTTACACTGATGACTTAGGTGATATTAGTCCAAATGGTGCTTTCAAACTCAAATTTAATAAATGAGGATGTCTATTTCTTATTGATTTCTTGTTTCATGGTCTCCTTGACATTAGAAATTAAATAGATTCTTGTCACATATTTTCGTTATTGGACTGTGGTAGAGACACTAATTGCATTATTTCAAATAATGATGGGTCATCTCTGTGTTGTGGTAGGCAAAATCTGCAAGCGCACAGACTCGTTGTAGCTATCTAGGTTGATCCCACAGGGACTAGGGTTAATTACCAAATCTCACGTTATTCGACTAGCTAAACTAATGAGTATATCAGAAGAGATGAAAATTAAAAGAAATAAAATAACAACTAATCAGGTGGAATTCAATATAATGAAGAGCCAGGATTGAGTTATCACCACAACTTTGATACTCAATGATGAATTATTTCAGTTCTCGATGTTGGTTTAAACTAAAAAGGGTGAATTAGCCTAAATTAATCTAAAGCCTCTTTCAAGGTCTAAAAATCGTGCCTAATTAATCTCAATTAACCTACTTTCGTTTAAATTGTTGTGTTTTACTTTTTCAAAAGGTTTTCAATGTTACAGCCATTTTCCCAAAAAACAAATAGATAAATCTTTTCTTTGCTTGCGTATTTGAACATAAAATTTTTAGGAGGATTTACATGGAAATCGAGGGCCTTAAATTCTAAAGCAAACACATTGGAAAAGGTTTCATGCTAGTTGCTGGACAGCGCAGGGCAGCCATGGATTAGTGCTGTCAATTCTAATTGTAGGCCTTAGTGGGGCCAATTGTTACTGTAGCAATTAGACATTTAAGGGTGTGTTTGACAACTTCCAAATTGAACTAAGCTAGAGTAGTTTTTTTCTTAACTAGACCAAAGTTGAACTGCATAACAGTATGTTAAAAAAAACTAGTTTATGGTTAAGATTTTGAACTAGAAAGAACTAGTTCGATTTGGGTCCAATTTTTGCCAAACTAAAAATAAAATTTTGAACCAATGTTGTACCACTTAGAACAAGTTTTAGTTGTGTTTGGTAACCATAACAAAATTAGGCTACGTTTAATCCTCACACAGTTTTTTTCTAAACCGATTTAGAGTTGGACCAATGAGGTGTTAGTCCAACACTAAATTGATTTTAAAGTGGATTTTTGGCCTAAAAAGAATCGGGCAAGAACTAGTCTAGTTTTTGTCAATTACAAATTAACCTGAAACTGGACTAGGTTCAGTCCTATCCTAGCTTTTTCTCTAAACCGATTTAGAGTTGGACCAATGGGTTGCTTGTCCAACACTAAACTAATTTTAAGGTATATTTTTGCCTAAGAAGAACTGGACTAGAATTGGTCTAGGTTTTGCCAATCACAAATTAACCAAATACTGGGCCAAGTTCAGTCCTGATTTAGTTTTAATCGGTCTGCCAAAATACCCTTAAAGAAGAGGTTAAGTTGTTTATAGCAAATAACATATTTTGGGGGATTTTTTTCCTTTTTTTTTAAATACACTTTACTTATTTGTAAGTTACAAGTTGGAAGGTCTGGTGGCAAAAGAAAGGTCAGAAGAGGGGGAGGTTTTGAGACACACTAAAAATTCGGGTATTAAAGTGCTAAAGTAATACTTTGGGTTATCAAAATGAATACGTGGGTAAATTCTGGGGGACCAAAATTGGAATAAATTTTTAAAACAGCCTCAAACCATGTTTTTATTTTCAAAACCGACTCACTTTTTTTTTTACCAAAATCGACTCACTTTTTGCCAAGTCAGCTTAATCTCATTTCCTAATTAGTCGGGTTGCCAACCTCGACTATTTAGAACATAAAAATTATGTTTAAGGCTTCTAATTGGGGGTTTAACAACTTTCTAAACAGTCGGGGTTACCAACCCCGACTGTTTAGGAATGGGATTAAGCTGACGTGGCAAAAAGTGGGTTGATTTTGGTAAAAAAAAAAATGGGTCGGTTTTGAAAATTAAAACATGATTTGAGGCTGTTTTGAAAATTTATTCGACCAAAATTCATAGGGTTATATGAGATATACAAGTTTAGCGGATTACGTGAAAAGTCCTCCAAAGTTCAAGGTTGTGGAACTAACCCAATTAGTTTATTATAAAAAGTGTTTTTTTTAAATATTAATCCCTTACATCATTAGTATTTTGATATTTAGTTATCCAGATCATCATGTTTTGGTATTATTTCATCAAATCACATTAATATGTTGATACGAGTCCTTTTGTCAGCATAAATGTTTGAATAACCTTAAATCATGACTGAATATTTATCCTCCCTTCCCCTCCTCCCCTACCACCACCAGCAACGCTTCCCGTCATTCATCGAGCTCTCCTTTATCCTCATCTCTGCCATTCTCACAGTCATCTCAATTTTACAGTTTTAGGTCCACTTCTGTTGGATTATTATTAGATATTTTACAACATGTATGCGTTTGTCTAGTAATTATTATCAAGTTGGTTTAGGAAGGAGAAGAAGATGGATTAGACTGTTCTAGGATGGACAGAAAAGTGTTGGGGGAGTAGATAGTATAATGTGTTTGGGTTTTAATTAGACGGGTCCGGATTTAGAGAAGCCTTAACGGGTTTAAATTTAAATTTAATGGATTGCTAGTTTGAGTATGTGAATTGAAGAGTATACCTGTTTAAGAAAAAATATTAAAGAAAATAGAATATTCCTTATTTATTTTACGGAAAATCGATTCAAGGCCTCAAATTTTAATTTTCAATGTACCTCAGCCTCCCTAACTTTCAACAATGTGCTGCAGCCTTAATTTTTTGAAAAAATTGTGTCCAGATCCCTCTCCCCAAGTTCCAATGCAAACTCCATCCAAAATCTCAATTTTACCCTCTCCTCCTTCGGTCCTCCTCTACTGCCTCCCCTACCTCCCCTCCGTCGCCGGCGCCGTCCCAAGGAACTTCGCGTGGGCGGCGACGGTCATGGTTATCATGTTAATATGTTAACTCTTACAGATAACATGTTAACTATTAATAGTTAACATGTTAATTGTAAGAATTAACATCCCCTGTCGTGAGAAAGATGAGGGTAAATTTAGGATTTAAGCTAGCTGACATGTCTAATCATGAGCTGGCATGTCTAATCATCCGCTGGCATGAGCTGGAATCATGATGAAGGGGCCTGGACATAATTTTTTTCAAAAAAAAGGGGCTACAGTACATTAAAAAAATATGGGGGGCTGAGGCACATTGAAAGTTGGAACCTTGACACAATTTTCCCTTTATTTTAACACCAACTTGCTAAAGGAGTAATTATCATATGAAGGTAATTTGAGTGATTAATATCAAAACATGAAAGATTTGAGGGACTAAGACATAATTCTTTTGATTTAAGGGACTAGGAGTTAATTAAAAAAATACAGACAACTACTAAACAAGTCGAAATAATGGAAGGAGTAGAGAAGCGAGCAACTAAAATCAATGGCGAGCTCTGAATCCTTCATCCAAGGTCTCATCATCGTCATCGGCGTCCTCTCCATCTTCTTCCTCCAATCTCTCCCCAAACGCTTCATCTCCCGGTACCGCCGCCACCCGCCAGCAAAACTCAACCACCATCCAAGGCCGTCGCCACTTCATCGCCGGAGCCCAAACCCTAGCCCGAGCCCGGTCCCAATCCCCTCCCTCCCAAACCTTAATCAAGTCCTCCATCTCCTCCGCCGACCTCGCTATTGCCCTCGAACCCCGCGATGCCGCTCCCCACATCCTAAAAGCCCTAGCTCTAGATCTTCAGGGTCACAAGATTCCTGCTCTCAAATCCCTCGATGTTGCCCTTTCTTCTCCTCAATCGAAAACCCTAGGGCCTAAGGAGAAGGCTGATGCTTTGATTAAGAGAGCAGAGTTGAGTTTGGGGGTTGGGAAGAGGAGGAGGAGAGTTGATCAAGCGATTGAGGATTTGACCGAGGCGATGAAGATTGGGGAGAGGAGTGGGAAGGGATTGGGATTGCTTGGAGAGTGTTATGAGTGGAAGGGGATGATAGAGGAGGCCAGGAGAGCGTATGAGGAGGCGATCGAGGTTGATGGGTCAATGGATTTGGTGAGAGAGAGGTTGAAGGGGTTGAGGGAAGCAGCAAAGGTGGGATCTTGATGGAGGTATTTGATGATTTTCTGATGTATTATTCTTATTATTATCAGTAGTTTCTATTGTAATGTGAGTTTTAGTTTAGTATGAGGTATGAAATGAATTTTCTATTGACATTGCCATTGCACACTTGGAATTCTTTCAGTTTCAGCAGTGTACGCTTTAATGGCTAGAATATGTGGAACCAAAATTTTGTTTGGGGAAATATTCAATGTCCATTTTCTTGAAGACATTTTAACTAGGGGATAGTACTCAAGTCCATGCTAAATTCCTAGCTAGCAAAAAAGTTTGAGCAATAGAGAGAATATTAAGGACTATGATGTAGGTGGTGATAGTTAAATTATGTTTAGGTTCATCCAGTTTAAGCTCTTGCGACCACTAACCAAGCTTCTACATTTTTGTAGACCCTGAAAGAGTCTAAACAAAAATAGGTAGTTTGAATTATTTTTTCTGTAGGAATTTGCATTCATCTCTATGTTAGAAAATAAGCTTTCAACTAAAATCACATTTTCAGACCTTCTTTGAGTATAAGAAGAAAATCATCATTATTTATGAGAGACATGCCTTGAGTCGTCTAGCAAAGTAAGGCAGTTTCTAGCTCTCCAAGTTCCTCATTAGTTCATGGTCATAATTCGATAAGTTGCACAGGTTATATGATTTTTCTTTTATTTATTAATTAATTTATTGGTGTATGGTACATAAACTTACCATTTAAATTAGTTCACTATGTAGTTGAATCTTGGGTTTTATTCAGCTGACAGCTTCCCCCTGTTTTTGAAAAACCAGCTCTTGATCTTAGAATTGGGCATTATAAGAATCATTACATGACTAAATTTCTAAGGAGGCAGAAGTCATGTTATTGTAAATTTGTAATATTTATATTACATAACTTTCAAGTTTATGCATCCTCGATATTGTCTATTCAAAATGACTTATTGTCTATTTAGAATGACTTACACATTTAAACTATAAATAACTCCATCACTATACAATACCAGTGTAACTAGGTAGACAAGATAGCTTGAGCGCTAAATTTGCAGTCTGGTTATATACAGAAGTTTAACTCTCATGCTTTCCATGCCTCCGGTAATTCTGGCCCCCGGTGCTTATCGTTCTTGTTAAAAACTGGAACCTGTGGACTTATACCTGCTCTTTGTTGTTGAATCCTAATGAGTTACAGACACCTCGTTCCTACGTAGTCTCCTTATTCTACTACTATTTCATCTTATGAGTTGGAGGTGGTTGACATGGCGATCTGGATTGTTTCAATAAAGATAAGTCAATTCCTGTGCAGAATCAGCATAGCTTGGTATCTTTAAGGTAAAATTACATGTTGATTCATACAATTTTCTGTCTTAAACATTAATATATCAAATTTGTCAGAAAGTGTTTTCAACTCGTAAATTATTTCTTGTGCGTCATATTATTTTCCATGTAGTATTGTGTCAGTTTCCTCTTGAACTTTAAAACCCATTGTAGAGAAGGAATCTTTTGTCACGCTCAAGGGGATCATGAAGAGCTTTCAAATATGTTGTTGATGTTTTAGGTCTATGACAAAAACAGAAAAATGTTTTTCATACAGTATAATATTTGTTCCTAGTAAAACTATACTGCATAATGAAAATTGGCATGCTGTTATCCTTTAAAGTGCTTGGTTTGAAGAAAAGACAGATAAGGAATGCTAGAAAGAAAAGTTTGTATGAAACATTTTAGTTCTTGAAAATTTTCATACTCAATTTGGTCAAGTATTTTTAAACGTCCATGCTTCCTTCCATCTTATGAGGCATATTAGCCAAGTTAGGTTTCACCAACGCCGGATTTCCCGTCAGTTTGCTCTTGAATTCTGCTCTCCGTCATCTTGCTGAACTCTCTCCAGTTGCTCTACTCTGCCTCTCAACACAGTCAGTTTAGCTGCAATGTTATAGCAAGATGCTATTCTTTGGCACTGTACTCTTCTGGATTTAAATTGATCATTGTGAACTCTTTTTTACAACATACATCAACCTAACTTTGTCGCTAAGCAACATAGAGAATGTTAAAGGACCTTGATGACCAGCTGTTGGTAGATAAATCCATATTTTAAACTTAGTACAGTTTTAAGTTGGTAGCAAAGGACCTAATTTCCACATTTTCCTAGACCATGAAAGAATCGAGAGAAAGAGGTAGGTAAAATGTTTCTGTAGGAAATTGCAGTCATCTCTAAGTCAAAAACTAAACTAAAGAGTAATTTATTAATATCACATTCTGCAACCCTCTCTCTCCAAGGCGGAGAATTCCTCTATTTCGATTGATGTTCCTTGAGCATGTGATCACCTATCACAGTAAAGCAACTTACTGCCTTTCCAAGTCCTTCTCTTCATAGTCTTATTATCAAAGCTTTCGTGGATAACATGAATTTTTGCCTTTCGATTGGTTATGTGGTGGAGATTTTATCATCTGAATTTGCTCACTTCATAGCTGATTGAAGACATGATGCTGCTATATTTTGTAGCCAGAAGTTCTTGACAGTGTACAGACTTGCATTTCTTAACTTGATCTTGTTTATGTAAAAAGTACTTGCACGTACTATCTGTATCATTCTTTTTAAATACAACTGAAATAGATATAGTAGCTTGGGTAATGTTTTCCGGTCAGCTTATATTTAGGTGTCAAACTCTTGGATTATCTCTGGTAATACTGACCCTGACGCTTGTTTGTAGATAACCAAAATTCAGAATGCACCTATCCTTTGGTTCTGACTCAAGAATGGACTAAAAATGAATCTCATCTTTATGTTTATCTCAAGTGACATTGTGTGCGTATCTTGTGCTTTTATGTTGACAGTGGTGACTGTATAGGTGCATATGCAGTGTCTTCTACTTGCAACCTCATATATAGCATACGGGTATTGTTGTTAGAAGTGTCAATCTATGCTTCCAATAGCTTTTCATTTCTCTTTTCCACATAAAGTAATCTTATAATAATATGTGTGTGTGTGTGTGAGTGCATGTGCATGTGTTCTCTATATGAATGGATAAGATTTTCATTTCTCTCTTCCATTTGCAATTTAATTTGAAGAAAGGTAAAAAAAGTATTTCTGAGCACGTAAAATATTTATCTAAGGAGCATTGCCAAAGTATCAATTGTATATGGACATGTTAAGTAGGTGTTATCTCTAAGCAGTCCATGACCATGATAGAAGTTTATGTGCTACATGTAGTCTATTCTTTTAGATTTATTGCGTGTTTATATCTGTATGCTCTTCCTTCATTTCTTTTCCAGGGTACACATAAATTATGTACCTATTTCAGTGTATAGTCAAGGATTGACTGGGTCAATGTATGATGTTCCCATGAATTGTGTGTCTTCCATTTCAGTGTGCATTCCAATAGTGTCTGAGCTTATTAAATGTAGATTATGTGCATCATGGTTATTAACTTTGTATAATTTATAATATTTGATTTATTCTGAATAGCTGTCACTTAAATCCTTGTGAACAATGCTTATAATTTGCATGAGTACTGGGGTGCAGGTGGATTTGATTTTCTTGATATGTATGCTGTTTCTCTTATATTAATATACAGGATGCAATAATGAGTAGCATAGTCCATGTGACAAACCTTTTCCGAAGAAGTGCGAAGCTTTTCGAAGTGATTTCAAATGCATGCATTCCACATTTCACACTGGAAATGCCCAAAATCAAATAAAATCTTAATGGAAATAGATAGAATGCCTCTTATTGTTCCAATCTTCAGTGCTACACTGGATAAAGAAACTGAAATTTGTTATATAGTAGCAACTATAGATAAGTAGAAGAAGATTCACAGATAAACCAGTCAAAATGTAGCTATAAAAAGAGGCCTTGGATGTTATGTACGATCACGTTTTTCCGTTTGACGCATGAGAAAGTTCAAGTAGAGGAAAAGTTCAGACACCAATATTAGGCTTGGGGCTTAAACGAGAGAAGCTTCATGCATCAGCCTCAACAAATCAAGTAACTAGTCAACATACCATTTAATTGCATCTTCACATCACTGATCCAAAAATGTTCTCCCGCTAGTGCACCAACTATAGCCTGGGACCACTGGTCTGAGTCTCCAGAATTAGAAAGCGTACATGTGGTTTGTTACCAACCTCATTGAGCTGGCTTCTCTATTCCACTTCTCTTCAATAGCCTCAGTTCAAAGTCAGCACGCTATAACCTCCACATTATTGATACCCCCCTCCCTCCCTTGCCCAATCTCACACATCAACACACAACAATGGACTCTTTCAACTCCTTTCCCTAATCCTTCACCTCTCTCCTGTCAACATTTCTCCTCCTAAACCTTACCTCCAATGCATCAGCTAATTATCAATCCAAGAAGGTCATACCCACATTCAATTTTTCAATTACAAACCCCCACATCATCCAAACAGACAATCTCACAAGACCCTCAAATCTTCCCTACTCAATCTCACTGGTACTCTTCCATCATCAAATCAGCCACCATCACCAACAAAACCAATGACCACGACCGCATCTTTTACATCTATGACACTGCTATGAACGGCTTTGCAGCCACATTGAACCCCGTTGAAGCCGATAAAGTCTCTTCAATGCGTGGACTCATTGGTCTTTATCATGATTCCACCTTGTAGTTACATACCAGGATATCCCGGAACTTCCTTGGTCTCAATCTGGGTGACAGTCTCTGGTCAGATAAGTCAGATATTCCTGTCAAATCCCTTATCGGCTTTCAAGACACCGATGCTGTTATCGGCCTTGTGGATACTGGCATATGGCCTGAAAATCCTTCATTTGATGATATTGGGTCCCCTCCAATTCCATATGATTGACGAGGGGAATGCATGGTGAGGGGACTTTCCCACAGTTTTCGTTACAACCAAAAAATAATAGGAGCGAGGTCCTCCTTCTCTGGAGCTAAGGCTCGAGGACTTAGTTTTGCTGATGAAGAATCGGAATTCTTGTCATCGAGAGATAAAGCTGGGGATGGCACACATGCTGCATTGACTGCTGCAGGCTCTGCAGTTGTCAACGCGAGCCTTGTCGATCCCGTGAAGCAAATAATCCAGGATTGGTGTATGATGCAGCAGATCAAGATTATATCTATTTGCTGTGCACAATGAATTGCCC